AAAAAAAAAAAAAAAAAACCCCAAACCCAAACAAAAGCAAAACAATGGTGATCTGGAGATACATGCCTTTAATGGAGGCAGACAGACCTCTGTGAGTTCAAGGTCAGCCTGGTTTACACAGTACACATAGAATTTTTAAAATAAGACAAAGTATCTATTGTAAGCATGAAATTCTTAATGAGTATTGTGAGAAGGGGTGAACATTCTGGCCCAGAAGATCTTCACTATTTATTTATAGCTCCTCAAAGTATTCCTCTCCCCACTGAGCTCTTGTGAGAGTTTGGGATCCTATAACTGCAGATGATTTGGGGGACATCGTGTCTCCTAGCCAGAGGAGACCTCATTGCTTCTACTTTTCAAATAGGGCATGTAGAAAAGTCCCCGTCCCAAGGCTGCGGGCTCATTATCCCCCTTGATCCTGAAGGAAATATTTTCTTTTGCTTCTCCACCGATATGGCAGCTCGGGCAGTCTTTATAGATTGACAGATTTTCTCATGTTCCAAAAGAGAGGGTGAGTGCCTCTGGAGGTCTACAATGTAATCATGAAGAAGGATATCACAGACAGTCCATGCTTAGATGATTTCACTGCCAAGGGCTTTCCTTCCCACTAACTGGTTGAGTTCGTACAGTTCTGGGACTCCACAAGGAAGGGCTTACCATCCCCACCAAACAAGAGAAGAGAAGAGACCCAGGCCTCACACAGATCTCCTGAATAAGCCACATGCTGCTGCTTAGCAGCTCCCAATTGCAAGACCCCCGAAGAGCAGGGTGGTGTTCAGTGTGACCTCACTGTCAGGCAGGAAATGGGCTTCTTACTCACAGGTTGAAGCAAGCCTTTAGTAATAACAGACCTCTGTTTAAATGAATGCCAGGCCCAAATTAGATATATAAATATATAAAATAAAAGCAAAAAATATAAGCATTTGTTGGTCTTTCTGAACTTTGAGTTGCTCTTGCCTTGGTCCTCAGAGGTTCCATTGAAAGCAATTTATAAATGGAAGCATGGAGTTGGCTAAGCGGCTGGTTCTTCACTAGTTACCCACTCTTAAAAGCCATTGCCAAGGGACTCAATTTGAAGGCTATTTTTGGGACATCTTAGAAGCAGTGACTGAAAGAGGAAGGTAAGGTCAGCCTGGGGAAAGCCCCGAAACTAGGGGAGTTGCACTTAAGTATTTGAAGAGTTATCATCCAAGGGAAGGACAGGACTGTGCTGAGCAGGCAGATGAAGAGGAGGGGATGAAGAACACACAGGGATAACTTCAGGCTAACAATGACCATTGCCCTCAGGGCTAGCACACAGCCTGAACTCCGTGACATCAGAGATGCAAGGGACTTTTTCAAGAGTGAAAAGAGAAGGAAGTCACAGGTCTTAGTGTGGGTTCTGTTGCTGTGAAGAGATGCCATGACCATGGCAACTCTTATAAAGGCAAATGTTAATTAATGGGACCTGGCTTACACTTTCAGAGGTTTAGTTCATTATGTTCGTGGCGGCATGCAGGCGGATATGGTGCTAGAGAATGAGTTGAGAGTTCTACATCTTGATTTGCAGGCAACAGGAAGTCAACTGTCACTCTGGGTGTGACTTGAGCATATGAGACCTCAAAGCTCACCTCCACAGTGTCACACTTCTTCCAACAAGGACACCTATTCTAAGAAGGCCACACCTCCTAACAGTACCACTCCCTATCGGCCTGTGGGGGCCAATTGCATTTAAACTACCACATCACGTATCAGCTAAGACTCAGCTAGCTGCAAGATCTTTGTCAGGCTTGGCATCCTTGGTGTCTCTTCATTATGCTGTGATGTGGACCAAACAGGCAGAATAGGACGTGTGTTGAAGCGTGGAGGGTAAGAAACATGAGCAAGTGTCTTGAACATGAATGTGGCACTTCCTGCCACTGGTGCACTTTTCTGTCCAAGACTTGGAGGAACAAAAGATTTGGTCAAATGATACAGATCATTTGAGGGATCCCCTGTAACCTGTAGAGAAGTACATAGACCGGGTTCTCCTGCCTACATGCACAGAGGTCTGAGATGAACATGTGTCCTACTTTTGTGTGTTTTCAGAAGTATGCATGTGCACACTTGCTCATGTGATGAGGGAAGAGTGATAATGGACTCAGAGCTTTTTGTTTAGTGTGTGCCATAATAAATAGCCTGGAAGGAAGATACAAGTAAAACCTATAACCATGGTTTGCTAAAATCTCTCTCCCTCCCCCCTCTCTCTTCTCTCTCTCTCTCTCTCTCTCTCTCTCTCTCTCTCTCTCTCTCTCTCTCTCTCTCTCTCGTCTTTCACTCATCTTAACAAATAGATATGGTCCATTCCAATAGTGTCAAGTCAACATAACATCTGTCACAAAGCTCCAGACGGTCATAATGTCACAGAGGCGATTACTTCCTGCTTTACATACAGGATGTGTAGTTTACAATATTTATTCTCTTGCTTAAACTTCATTATCATGGAGAAAAGCAGGGCGAAATCTACTATCTTTCTCCTTTAGGTGAGGTGTCAGACACTCTCGGAGTCTCAGTCACATAGCCAAGGACACGCAGCCAGGGGTAGAGGGCTGGAGTCAGACACAGCTCTTCTATCAGCGGGTTCCCCTGCTGTGGGGTTCTTCAACGTTGTTTTCTCCTAGAGGAAGAGCTGGGAGCACAGAAAAGCGGGTGTCATGGCAACTAGCCAATGCCGTTGCCATCATGAGTATAATTTCCTCCAGGAAGAGTTTTTAGTTTCTCACAGAAGTTCTCCGGAACTGCCCCATCCATCACAGAAAAGGTCAGCTCCCACAGCTGAGAGTCAAGTCATAACCGCTGCCCCGCGAGCACGTTTCCTGTGGGCAGAGGAAGCCTTGGTTTCTGACTTCAGCCTCCACCGGCAGAAACTGACATTTCTCTTAGAATTTGCTCAACCTCTGCTTTGCAGAGCTTCTCGGGGTCATCTAGATTCTCTTTTGGCTTTGAACTGTGCTCAATTCGTGCGCATAAAGAGATGCTTGAAGGTTGCCACCATGCAGCATCCGTCTGCCCTTTGGTTCCCATTACACTTGTCCAAAGGACCTTCTAAGTGTGATCAATAGAAAGATTCTCTTTAAAATTAAACAAATGTGCAAATAGCCAGAAGAGAACGCAACTCTTTTATTATTATTATTTAATTTTATAATTTAATTTAATTTTACATATCAGCTACAGATTCCCCTGTCCTCCCTCCACACCTCCCCCCAATCCACCCCCATTCCCATCTCCTCCAGGGCAAGGACTCCCCTGGGGATTCAGCTCAGCCTGGTAGACTAGTCCCCTCCTCCTTTCATCCAGGCTGAGCAAAGTGTCCCAGCATAGGCCCCAGGCTCCAAAATGTCAGTTCATGCACTCAGGACAGGTCCCGGTCCCACTGCCTGGGGGCCTCCCAAACAGTTCAAGCTAATAGACTGTAACTCTTCCAGTGCTGTAGTTATAGTCTTCAGTGTGAGCCTCCGGGCCTTCCCCAGCACACCACGCCTAGTGCTCCCTGTGGTGGTTTAAAAGAGAAATATCCCTCATGGTGTCAGGAGTTTAAATACGTGGTCCCTAGTTGGCGGAGCTGTTTGGGTAGGTTTAGGGGGTGTGGCCTTGCTGGGCTTTGAGCATGTAAAGACTTAAGGCCATTTCTAGCTTGCTCTCTGCTTCCTGCTTGGGATTCAAGCTGCGAGCCCTTAGCATCGAGTTCTAGCTGCCATGCCTGC